ATGCATAACAGTCATCAAGCAATTAGATGTTTCAAGGAGTATAAAAAGAAAACAATTAATCATTTAAACCTTTTTCAGTAACCACATTTACGTCAGGACTGGACACCGGGTCACCTAAAGAAAAGACAAATTTTGTGTGCATCAATTTGCTGATGGTTGTTTAACATTACACAAACATATCAACCGGAGACAGAATTATTCAATTTACGAAAAAATGTATGCATATCGCACCTTGATCACCAACAAGCATACTTGACATGTAACCCAAGAACAAATCCTTCTTGTCAGTCAATTCCAACACTGCTTCCTCAGCTGCTTTCATTGGGTCAATGGACACTTCAGGCACGATACCTGAAAATGTAAAGTTGAAAGTATGACAATTTGCCATAAAGCTCCTTCATTTTTATATCTTAATCTTCTTCCAATTTTAGAAAGTGACCAAATAATAATCTGTGAAAAATAATTTTATAGGATAGATTAAAACAGACCTTGTTCACCAGTAAATGTTGTTGAGAGGTAGTCCACAAGAATGTTTATTTGTTCTTTGGTGATTTCTGCTGTGGTCTGTAGGGCCGACATGGGATTAAATCCCACAGCCTGCTGGATATCTGATGACAAAAAGGAAGGCAACATAATGTTTTTTTGGAAACTGAAACTATCAAGTCACAGTCAGGTAAAGGTCAAATTGTGACAGATTCTGTACCTTTTAAAGTATCCAGTATCATATCCAAAACTGCACAGAGTACATCCTGGATGTATCCTGCTATTCCACTCACAAAGTCATTAGAAACATTGAAGACATGTCGGCCAATAACCACAGGGTCAATAAAGCTAATGTCAGTTGTTCCTGAGAAGAGAGGCAAAGGTCAAGACGTTATATCAGTCATTGAATGCAATGTCTCATTAGCATTAGAAGGAGAGTTAAAGACCAATGGAAATCTTAATTTGTCAGTCATGAATTAATACAGTTTCCTAATAGTTTTCCTGGGCCACAATAAGCATAATTTAATGTGTACTTGAGTAAAAAGTTTAGTCAAATTCATATCAACACATGTGTAAATCTTGGATAAAACAAGATGGAAATACATTTAAAACAAAACTTACTTAAATATAAACAAGTCTGTTTCCAAAAACTTAATTAAATTACTGACATTACAGACAAGAAAAACATGCTATTTATAGCCGGAAAAATATATATGGTGGAAATATTTTAGTGCCTTCAGGAATACTTCTAAAAAGTAGAAATTTCACATATACTAGAAATAAGGTCTGACAAACACTACTTCTTGTTTCTAATCCTAAACTGATCTCTGACAGAGCTTTGCACCATCCAACCTTTTTCATTGTTGGTTTGTTTAATGTGATCACTGATCAACAATAGAAAAAGAAAAAAAAAAGAGAATCTACCTTTGAATATATCCAAATTTGTATCCAAAATGGCACAAAGGATGTCTCTGACGTAGTCCACTATTCCACACACACAGTCATCTGTGACCCTGAAGACATTTCTGCCAATTACCACAGGGTCAATGAAGCTGATGTCAGTTCCTCCTGAAAGAAACACATTTAGAAGGTTGATTATTAACTTGTGTTTGTTAATAGGGTTAAACAGGTTAAACAGAGACAGTAGGTACCTTGCACTACATCCAGTACAGTGTCCAGTATGAAGCAGAGCACATCCTGTATGTAGCCCATCACTCCACAAATGAACTCATTAGTAACGTTGAAGAAACCTCTGCCTATTTTCACAGGGTCAATGTAGCTAAGATCAAGTTTACCTGAGGAAATTACCGTAATTAAGGACAAGTCTTTTTGTGATTGGATCATACGTTTAACACGTTAAACAAGTTAGGATAAAGGCTGTGAAAATGAAATACGCACCCTTTCTTATATCCAGTATCGTATTCAATGAAATATCCAAAACAGCACACAGCGAGTCCCTGACGGAGCCCAACACTTCAGACATGAAGTCGTCAGTTGAATGGAAAACTCGCCGACCAATGACCACAGGATCAACATAGCTGAGGTAGAAGTTTCCTGAGGTCCAGAAAGATGGACGTAAAATGATCAGTAAACACTCATTTTCCTGTTGTTTTCAGAATGAGTCAATTGTCACACCTTCCTCATCAGAAAAATAGCGAACGAATCCATCTTTTGCCATTGTTGCTTCCTCAGCTGCATAAGTAGCAACAGACATTGGGTCGCTTAAATCAGGTGCACATTCTGGAATAGATTTAAGACATACATTTCAGCTCTTACAGCAGTAAACACAGACAACAATGTCAAGTTGAATGTCTCACTTGGGTACCTTGGAACTTATTGAGCAGACTGGACACCTCGTCAACAGCATCATTGACAGCTTGAACAGGGTCTGTTACAATTTGTTGAATGTCTGAAAGGAAAGGTAAAGGTTAATAATTGTACATATCGGATTGCTGAAATGACTGAAGAAGCCGAGCAGCTGGTTTATATATTGATCCTCACCTGGTACTGTCTTATATTCCACAAAGTCAAACATCACAACTCCCACGACCACCCAGGACAGGAGAGCCGCCAGGGCCATCAGCAGCTCCACAGACATTTTCAGCTTCCCCAGGAACCCCAGACCTTTTGATCTGAGGGTGCCGGTCTGTGGAGCTGCTGCTCCACCAGACGGCCCACTGGCCGTCGTGACAGAGGGGGGTTTGGCTGAACTTCCTGAATATAGAAAAACACACGGACACAAATCACTCACGGTCACAAATATTATAGCTCCCAAAAGGCTTCAGGATTTCTACATATGATTATGCTAATCACTCACTTGTGACTGTTGACAAGAAGAATACAGTTGCCCAATGAAGGTATGAATACAAAATTGGTAACGTGATGGTCTTTTGTCCACCAGAGGGCATTGCACTGACATTTCCATGCATTCGCTAGAGAATATCAGACCCACTACCAAAAACTTAAAAATCTCTCCTGAGCAGTCATTTTCAAAATTCTCCATAGTCACATGTTGAGTCTGTCTGAACCAGTTAACCTAAGAATAATTGTTCTTACAGTTGTCAAGTATGAATACATAAAAGGTTGCTGATATAATTTGCCCAATTCATCCCTCAATTCAGCAGAGCCAAGCCCACCAAATAAAGACACAGACTAATAGTGCAGAACAATGGCATTGTTTTAGTTTTGTGTTTGATATCAGGGTGTGGAAAAAATGTTCAAGATCTTCCATACATTAAAGTAGGAACATTTACAATTGACCATTTTTTTTAAGAAAAAACAATCATAAAACTAGCAGCACACTAGTTACACTATTTCACAGTCGGTTTTCCTTTTGTTACCAACATTTCACGTGATATCCCTGCTTGAAACATCTGATGAGCATAAAATATATATATTATTATATAGTGTCTTAGCGCAGTGAACAATGTTTGTGATATTTAATGGGATCCTCATGCTCTTAAGAGTGTGACAGTATCCATATTGCTGTGCTGGTGCCAACATGTTAGAGGCACCTTCAAACTGTAAGCATGTCTTGACACATAACTCTTTTCCAAATGATGGTAGCCTGTAAAATGACAGAGAATTCATTACATTTAAATTAAATACCCTGGAGGAAAGGATGGTACCAGTTTTCAGAATATGTTTGTCACATGTACCCATTCTGATGAAAGACGGCTTGTAGTAGCCTGTTTAAGAGGTGTTCATGCTGAAGCCATTTGACGAGAAACAAGAAATTCTAAACCACAACTTGGAAATTACAAGGAAAAAAATATCAAATGGATCTAACTAAAACACTGGTAAATGGAATGCTATGTGGACGTTCATGCTCTTTGTTTGATATGGCTGGCATAGTTGATGTTTATTTAACAGATTAGGAATATCATAAATAAACTCCCCATGTGCCAGCAAAAGACCAATTCAATCAACACAACCTGTCATTTGTAAAAACTGTAATTTTCGTCACTTCAAGCATGCAGATGGTACATATGTGTCTCAGATCTAGATGTTTTTGGAACCTTTAGATCTCAAAGAGAATTATAACAAGAGTATTTTTGTGCTTGGAGTAAAGAATCTCAGTGCTTCCTCCCCTTGAGTTGGAAACTCAGACGTCAGCAGTGGTGGTCATGTCCGTCACAGGGTAGCCACGCTAATACTCTGGCTACATGATATCCTGTATTAATAGCAACCAACTTTCAACACATACTTGATGTGGAGCACTGCTTATCAAAATATTGTTAATCTATCCTTCAGCATGTTTTATGTAAGATTTTTAAGATGTACCAGATATTTAGAGTTGATTAGTTTGACCAATAGCAGTTATTGATATATATATACTACAATCCTACCTTCTGCCATTGTGATGTGGAAACTATTTCAGGTAGGATCCTCTGAGCTGGGGGCAAAGCCCGCTCATGTAGAATTGTTTACTGGCAGCTTCAGTTTATCCAATCAGCACCAATTTATCAATGAAAAATGTCCAAGTCGTAGTTTGTGAGTTATTCCATTTTCATTTGGTGATCACAGGCCTGTGTCCCAACCCATGCTGTCCAAAAGAAGGGTGGGGGGAAAAAAAAAAAAAAAAGGAAAATTAAGAATAAATAATGGGCTCACAATTATAGGGAAATTTGGAGCTGCCACTGTGGCAGCATTGAAGAAAGGGATCTGGGGACGGTGGGGTAAAGCTAAGCAGGGGAGGATACAGCCAAGCTAAGCACACGGTTGGGTAGGGTGAGGAGAATAGACAGTATATCCCACCCAGTCATATTGGTGCCTCACATGGGTATAGGTCAGCGCAGAGAGCAGAGAACTTTGTGGTAACTTTATCCTGCAGAAGGTCCAGGTTATTCTTAGCTGGAGCTCAGCACTCCAGCTGCTCTGACAGGCCTTTTTTGGCATTTGAAGGGTGTGTGTGATCAGAGCAACTGCTTAAGTGGAGCACCCCCACTGGTTGACATGAAATCTACCCTCTAGACAACAAATTGTGGAAACAAAATCAGCAGTCGACAACAACATAGTGGGAAATCGCCTTTTATTCAGTGTGTTACTCAAAAAACAAAGAGATGTCCAAAAATTACATTACTGAAGCACCATCATGTGACTCTTTTGCAGTGTATGAGCTTTAAACAGGGTTTTACTGCCACCGTTCCCATCTTAAACATAGGCAGTGTGTTGACAAGTGTATGTAAGAAATGAAAATGTCCACATAGCAAAGTAAAGACAATTGAGGGATTATACCTTGGGGATTTTCAGCTGGAGTCAAAATAAACAGATAATGGTTCCATTATGGATGTTTGTTGGTGTCTCTTCACAGAATGGATGCAGCGCTGATCGTCATAGGCCTGATGATCAGGGTGAGATCCTCCGGGACTGGAGGAGGGATATATTTCTCCTTCCTTTGCAGCCGCAGCAATAAATCTTCAGTGTCCTGTGGCCAGCGGTATATCTGTGTGTTCTGAAGCCAAGTTGGAACGTGCCTCTGTGCGAAATGTGCAGAGAGTTAAAAGAGTAAATACAAATAGAAAAGAATATCTGAGATAAGGAGAAGTCTTGGAGGGAAAATCTTTTATGCGTTTCCTGACCTGGGTTGCGCTGGGGAAGAGCACCGGTATGAATCGGAAATTCAAGCTACCTTGCTGGATGAATTCATTCTGCATCTGGCAAAAACAGATATGTTATTTTGTTATTTCCTTCTCATGTCATGGAAAAACAAGCACAAAAAAAGGAACAGGCGATCAGTAGACGCAACTACATTTCAATCAAATAGTATTTACACATTACTTTACATGTGAGGTAAAATATTTGAATAGCTCTTTTGAATTGACTTTTTCTCACCATTGAGTGAATATATTTAGTATGTAGTCCATGACTGTCAACCACAGATCCTTCAATATCATCCTTATACTTGGGACTGATGGCAATGATAATCAGGATTGATGGCTATTGAGAATAAAAAAAGAAAGACCATCAGACTTTGTTAAAAGATATGTGTATAGTCCCATGATTAATAGCACGATTAATCAACAAAGATTCAAGTCTGTAATAAAAGTGATGACCAGTTTTGATATTTTTTGGGTGGAATTCACTTACATCTTTTAAGTAAGAGTCTCTCCTCTTATTGATATCCACACATCCATTTGGGTTGTCAAAGTCAGTCTACAAAATCAAAGTTGTGGTTGTTAGAGGAAAGTTGAATGCTTTATGGGATTTTGAAAGAAAAAAAGAAACATGTAGATCAGGAGAACTTACAGCCGGTTGAAAACCATGCTTTGTGAGGAAGTCTGCAAACTCAGCCACCTCTGAAGATGTGTCCAAAGAGTAAGTTATAAAAACATTTCCTGAGAAGAGATGAAGTTATAAAAAAGTGAAAATTACATTAAAAGAATTGTAAGTGATTCATGCAAAGTGCACAGATATGTAGAGCCTTGATCTTGTGTTGGGCCACTCCATTCAGATAAATGAAAATTTCCATAGTGTTTTAGTTTCTTCCCTTTTTAATTTGCATGATTGGGAAAATCCAGTTTTATTTTCATTGAGCCATTTATGACTTTAGAACAACTGTTGAAAGGATGGCATAAGAAACCCTGCATGCTACCGTAGCAATGTTTATGTGGTGTCCTCATAAATAGAGATCATCACAAAAACTGTTGTTCTTGCTGAAACTCGTGTCCTGAAAGTAGCAGAGGGATTTTTCAAAAGCTACAAAGTACTTGCAAAATGTCCTGACACAAGCCACATAAACATTTAATTGGAACAAAACATGTGTAAACTTCCTTCCGTGTTTTGGTTGGCACCAACATGTTTTTTTTTTTAGATTTAACAATAGAGGAACACAAGGGGTTAACACTGAAGGTAGGGTAAAGATTGATCAGTAAAACTCTGTGACAAAATCTAAATACATTAATTTACTGTGTCCAGTTTTCAATATTACTGCATTGACACAAAATATTTTGGTGATAGCATCCCTTTCGATTGCTTAATGAACTGCTCTGCTCTATTTAATGAAATACTAAAATGACTCACGACACTCATCAGGAAAACTGATGGTTCTTCTTTTCTCTCCACGGTGTGAAAGAGGTTCTTCTGCAGCTTCTGTGCTCAGCTTCATGACAGTAAGCCCTGACACGTTTTGTTCAGGGGGAGTGGCAAACAGAGGCACGTTAACCAAGACATCAGCCAGTGGCCTGTCATGAAGTTGGAGCCTGAAGCAGATAAAAGGAAAATAAACAAAAGCTAGACACAGTTAGTCAAAGGTGTCTGACTTCTATTGACACTTTTTTATGTCTGATGCATTCAAAAGTGCAAAAATTACCGGTTTTCAGAGTCATTCCAATTATGATAAGAGGCAATTGCGTGGTGATATGCCTGAGGAGGATAATTGTTCTCTGGGCTGAGGTTGTACTGCCTTTGTTCTGTGGAGCAATAATATCCAGCATCCGACTTCATCTGCCAGGGACGAATGTCTGTTGATATATTGTTGACATTTTAACATGATAGTGACTTTGTCAGCTGTAAGTTGTCAAAAAAGGATTAATAAGAGGCAACTTGGTGGCGTGCAAGTTTTCCACAAAAGAATAAAATGACAAAGACTACAAATAATTTTATTGTCACTATGGCCGTTTCATGTGTAGCGTTAACGAAAACTTTCATTAACAAAAAAATTTCAGCCTGTGCACGAATGAGAAAATTTAGAAGGGTGGTATGTGGTGAAAGATGCAATGCATGAATGTTCAGAGGAGTAGGATATGAGTCATCAAATAATTATCAAACCCCATTATTAGCTCTTTGGGAGATGCAATTGCCTCAAACTTGATACTATGAATTTGTGGTGAAACAGTGGTTGGAAGAATTCAGTGGCTGCAATGAGCCACAATTTACAGTTTCCAAATGGATTTTTCCTGGATCTAAGGATTTTTCGTGATCTAAGGTAATCTGACTCGTGTTTTCAAGCAGTTTTGGGACTGCCTTGCTGTTTGTAAAATGCATAATCTTTTCTGTGCTCTCTCTCACGTAAGTTTGATGATTAATCTGACTCGCTGGTTTTTCACAGAGCACCTTAATATATTTGTATCTAGGAACTCTCAACATTATCAAATTATTAAACATAAGGAGCACAGCTGCAGTACAGAATATTACTTACAGTAGTTATCCTGAAAGAAAAAAATCATAATACATAATAACATCAGTACATATTGCTATGTAGTAAAGGCAAAAGATCATGATGGTAAATGTGTCCACAATATTTATGTGAATTTGAGGTAAAGTATGAAAGTATTCCATAAAAAATCATAAATCCATGTTGTGTGCTCTATCGCTGACATTTCAGAAACCTTAAATATACAATCCATTTATCTCTCACTGAAAACAGCTAAGTTGCTCTGCCCTTCTTTGTAAGGCAATAAATATAAAAGGAGAAAGTGTCTAACATTTCTATGCTTTCTTCATTCTTTTAATTTGGAAATAAAAACTGCACTGTGAGGACTGATGAGTATGCTTTTACTCCACAATTATCAGATCAATTTTCACATGCTTTGTTGCCAATTTTTAGGTAACGTGACCCTATTCAAAACAAATGATTAGCAAACAAAAAGAAAAAGCTATTTCACTTACTGTAGCTGCGCATGTAGTTGTGAGGAAGGGCAAAATTACTTTGGTGATGCCACTCATCATCAGCTTTCAGCGGCAAAGGAGCTTCAAGCTCCTCTTCTACCTCACTCTGACTCTGTGAATTGTATTCGTCCTCCCTTGAATGTCAAAAAGAGAAATGAGCCCCTTTACAATCTATTATTGAGCCCTTTCTTTTACACAAAGAGACATTGTTTAGGTAGGTGTAACTGTTTCATACCGATCCTGTTCACAGCTCCAAGAGCTGCTCCCTTCTCTGGCATGAATTTGCACGACTCCTGCAGGATTAGATAAGGAGCCCTCAAAAGATTGTTGATAACGATTGATCCATGCAGATGTTGCTCCTTGATTGTTTGTTTCTTTGTGCGGCAAAACCTGAGCAGGAGTCTGCCTCCACTCTTCATTCAGGTCTCTTTGTCTGCAGGGGCTTTGGCAGAACTTGTATGGCTCCATGCTACGAAAAATCTGCCTTATTTATGCTCAATACCTCTTAAGGTGGGTGTCTTACTTTTTTGTGATGGAAAATTATCTCTGATCAGATCCGTTTTCAGGTTTCACCATTTAAACACAATAACAGTCCTGCAACAAAAACAAAACAAAAATGTTTAATGTTCCACACACGTATTTCACACAAGTATCCATATATATCACATTAAAATGTATATAAAAATAAAATGCATATGTCTCAGTCAGAGTTAAGAGTTTAAGGTCTTACCTGTTACCAGGATTCTCTCCAGCTATGTGTACAGAGCTTTGTGTGTATTGCAGCCTGCTATATGCAAATTCTTCACCTTCACGTCTGCATCCAATCAGAAACAGGAATGTGGTGTGACTTGCTCAACCTTCTAGGCCTGAGCAGCACTGGTAAAAGTAGTACAAGTACCAAGCAGTGAACAAGTATGCAAAAGTATGCAAGCTTTAATCTCCTTTTCTTTTTAAAGATTGAATTTACTGTGTGTGCTCTGTCCGTTAGATATATAGTTGAGATTAGCAAAAACTGTTTTTTGTTAATTTTGAAGGGAAAGAGCTCAAACAATATCCCTAGAACTACAATAGTTTCAGCTGCATTTACACATAATAGGTTTATGCAGTGACATCTGGATGTTAGCTGCCAAACAAACCCAGTGTGAAATGCATCAAGAAAACCATTTTAAGACTGTTTATTTTCGAAACCAGCTCTGTACAAGTAACAGACGGACAATAAATAATAAGAAAAAAATGTTTCTAATGCCAAATAAATTAGGGTAAAAGAAAATATACAAAATCAAAGTTTTTCTTTACCACTTATGGAAAGTAAGAAAGGATACACATAGAAATGCTTAACAATGGTAAAATGTTTTCAAAGCAGAATACTTCCCTGGACATAAAAAGGAAAATACTTAACACATAACACTGGTAGAATATACTTTTAAAAAAAAGTCTCATAAATGACATGTTATTTAAAAGTACACATAATGGAGGACAAATACAAGTACACATCCTTCATTCTCATCATGTCAATGGCAGTTTGTTTGGCTGCTAAAGCAAAAGGACAAGTTGTAACACAGCCTGCAGCCCTACATTAATGCAACATACACTTTAAATGATCATCAGTATGCTAAGCAATCAGCTAAAGAATGGTTGCAGCCGGGAGAGGATGTGCACCCCCTGTTTAACTACATAAAGCTGAACGAAAAGTTAATTTAAGCCAATCTAAAAATATGAAAGCCGAAATGCAATGAATGCACATAATATCAGTGCAGATGCCATACAGTTTCGGTTTGGGTAGACAAGTCCATGATGCACTTAGTTAGTGTGTGTATAAAGCATGAAGGCATTCTCTTGTATCATAAGAATATTACTAAACATGAAAAGGCAAGAACAGGTGTTATAGTACAGCTAAATTCCTTGAGAAGAGGAGAGAAGTTATATTACCCTCATAAAAAGGCCAGTGAACTCCCAGAACAGTTTCAGACACCTCTGTCCTTGATGTCGAGCTATTACCCTTACCAACATTAACTTTTATATCAAGGTTTGCAGCCAACTGTTGCACTTCCTCTGAGCCACGAATCTGAAACATCTTTAACTGTTAATTAAAAAAAAAAAAGAGGAAAAATCCAAGTGTTCCCAAATTATCAAAAGTAATAGAAAATTAAACAAACTTAACAAAAAAACAAAAACAAAAAAAGGATAATTAACCAAGCAATTTATATTTACAGTAAATACAAATGAATGAGTTCATGTCGTTCATCCATGGTAGCCATTTCTTGCAATCCTTCACCCCCTTATCGTCTGAACATCCTTGGTTTCATCACCGTTTTGTTGCTGCCCATCAATGTTTCTTTGAGGTTTTGAAGTCAGGGAGTCACTCGTTCCGCTTTTCTAATATGGGAGAAATGGTGGTGCCTGGCCCCCTCTGGTGGTGCGGCCAGTGAAGTGAGACGAGATGACTGGGGCGGTGCTTAGAGGTTATCCCCTGGCTGATACTGAGGCTCAGTGGCAGTGAAGTAGTCCTCCAAAAAGGCTTGCAGGTACTCGAATGTCGGCCTCTCCTCCGGGTCCTTCTTCCAGCACTGCACCATCAGCTCGTGCAGAGATGTGGGGCAGTCCTGTGGGCACGGCATTCGGTAGCCTCGCTCCACCTGCTCCAGGACCTCCCGGTTGTTCATGCCTTAGGAAGAAGAAAGAGAGGAAAAGCGTACAATAAAATTACACTCCCGCCTCATTCAACCTGACCTCATTTAATAGCTGCCAATAGCACAGAAGCTCATTAAGCCTAAGAGCTCGCAGAATATTGGTGGCACAATTACTTTTTCTTGCTTTCACTTCAAAGGTTTTTACTCAACAGGGGATATTTTCTAGTTATGTGATTTAATCAAACCACTCTGCCATTTCACAAAACTTTTCATTGTATTTACTGTATCACTAAAAACCTCTAATTATGTAACATGTTTGACACTGAATGAATCACTCCTTTAAAAAAAAAAAGGTAAATGCTAAATCAAGTAACAGATAGCTGGGAGCAATTCTGTGCAATATGCAAAAAAATGATTATGCAGTACTGTACATGCCATGGGCAAACTGAGCCTCCTTTCTCATCAGACAAACAAATTTCCACAGGCAGCATTAATCAAACACAAGTAAACAACTGCCACTTTCAAGTGATTCCATAACCCATAAAGCCCAACCGTCTCACCTGGATAGGGCACTCTGCCCTTAGTTACCAGCTCTGTTAGCAGGATGCCAAATGACCAGACGTCCGACTTGATGGTGAATTTCCCGTAGAGCGCCGCCTCAGGAGCAGTCCACTTTATGGGAAACTTTGCGCCTGAAACAAACCAGATGGGGGACATTTAATTCAGCACACTGTCTTGATCTGCTGCTAGATGTTTATTGTTATCCTGTCGCAGCAGAAATGCTTCAAGTATGTCAGCTGTCACCACACAGATATGTTCCCTTCATCACAGCATTCCACGAAAAAAAATAACAGAACAATTCCACCATCTATCCTCGTCTCAGTTTACACCTGGCTATGGTTAAGGAAGTAAACATTTAACTATCCAAATGAGTAGCTGAACATGTCAGCTGAGTGACTAATGGAATCTGGAGAACCTCCGGGTGTAATTCTTGACTTGGAAAAGAACACTCAAACATCAGGCCTTTTTGACCAAAGTCAGTTAGTTGTCTTTGTGCCATAATCTCACCACATGCCTCTGCTTTACAGTGGTTTTGTTCAAGAAACATTTAAATATTTCCCCAGCAGACAAGGTTTTCAAAGGATGCTGACATTTGGAAAATATGACAGTAACATTAAACAAAGTAGGAAATGTCTAAACAAGTCAAATGTTAATAAACTTAGGACGTCATTGGGCGGAAAGACACGTGTTTGTCACGCGTGTCAAGAAAAATTTGTTTCCTATTAATAACGTAAGAATGTCCAAAAATTATTTCCTATTTGCTTTTTGGAAAATCACAGCATAATTTTGACCCAACCTTTGGTGCTCATTTTCAACAAGGAGGTAGACATTGTGAAAATGGGAGTGATATTAAAATGATTCTGTCCCTTGGCATTTAACTGGTCCAAACTCTAACTTTAAATAAAAATACATTACATAATAAAATTAATAATATTAAAAAATCCAAACTCTAAACCTATTTCATGCTGTTAGAAAAACGTATGAAAAAGCTGCTGCAGTAGATCTACCTTGTCTTGCAGTGTACTCATTGTCCTCAATGAGTCTAGCCAGACCAAAGTCAGCTATCTTGCACACAAGACCATCTCCGACAAGGATGTTAGCAGAACGCAAATCTCTGTGGATGTAGTTCATCCTCTCAATATAAGCCATTCCCGCTGCCACCTGGGAAAAAGTTGTTTTTATTAATCATCAAACATCATGTTACTGAACTGTTTCAAGGTCATTGAATCGGTCCTATGCTAGATTTTTTTTTTTTTACAGATTCTTACACATTACGCAACAGAGGCACACCATTCGACTAAAAGCTTAAAGCCATTGCCTTGTGAAGAAAATGGATCTGTTGTGTTTGGGCTTGGGCTCTGGTATTCACATGGATGTCAGCTACTAAAACCAAAACTCTGTTAGCTTCACCCCTCAGGACCCTAAAAGTGCCAACCCAATCAGCCCCAACACTCAGTGACAGTTCTTATGCTCTAGTGAGCCAATTAGGAAGCTCAATTGGACCACTATAACACTTTTTAGCATCGATTTTAACATTAGGCTGGATCAGTCTATATCTTTAAATTAAAAAAATTAAAAAGGTTTGCAAGGTGATTTAAAGTAATGATTAGCAGTCTTCTCACAGGTAGATAAACTGTTGTTACAGAAAATGACATAGGCTACAACATCAGTGGACTAAAAATGGAAAAGGCTGCCAGTGAGGAAAACAAATCCTGAAGCTGTGATTATTCGTGGATTATAAGCATACCTGAGCTGCCATGTCGACTAGATTTGGCAGTTTGAGGCCTCGGCCCTCTCCATCTTTGAGAAAATCAAGCAAACTCCCTAAAAACATAAGCATAAATGAAGAGGAAAAACAGTTAAAATGTTGTTAGAATCAACATTTTGTTCATGACTGCTTGCTTTCATGCATTATCAATGCTGTGTTTGAATGCAATGAATGCATTTAATATCAACAGACAGCACCTTTGCTCATGTACTCTGTGACAATGTAGATGGGCTCTTCAGACACCACGGCGTAGAGCTGCACCAGCTTATCGTGCCGGAGCTTCTTCATGATTTGAGCCTCCTCTAAAAATGACTCAGGAGACATTGTCCCAGGCTTCAGCGTTTTCACCGCCACCTTGGTGGTACCGTTCCACGTCCCTAAAAAACAAAAAAACAAAAAAATAAGTGACGCTGCAGGCTTGTATTGATTCAGGATCTTACTTCTGGAGTGAGTTTTTAATATTAAATGTGTAATAATAAAACATATCATCGATTGCTGAAGTGGCATTATCGTAACAGCACTGTACTGTTTGTGATTAAAATCTACTAGTGTAATCAATCCATTTGATGGTAATGCAATAATATAAAGACATTATATTTAGCATAGAGCAAAAAAAAACGTCTCGGGTCTAAAGTGTAATGATGAAGGCTTCAAACTAGGATGTGACTTAGGATGTGTCCGCTATTTGGAGAAATGTATTTCCTGCAAATAAGATATACACCAAGTTTTTACCGAACTCAAACTAAAACAGCACGTGTTTAAACTAAGTTCAGATTTAAAAAAAAAAACGTTATATTGCCAATTAGTCAAAAGGCCACTTCAAGTACTAAACTCCTCTCCAAGATTTTTTCCTCAGTAAAAGTGGTTACATGCAGCTAAAATCCTTCAATCCCATCATTGACGTCCGTCACATGCAGCTGCTATGGAACACAGCTGTCCAAATGTTCTCTCATGCCAAAAGACACACACCCATCCAGACTTCTCCAAACTGGCCGTTGCCGAGGCGTTTAATGAGCTGCAGCGACTCCCTCGGGATCTCCCACACGTCTTTGGTTTTAACCGACAGGTCGGTCAGACGAGGCATGCCTTTGTGGCACGGCACAACCAGTCGACAGCACAACCCTGCAGCCCTGGCTGGAAAAAAAAAAGGGTAGAAAACTGCGCTTGTGAGTAAAAGTGAGGAAAACAGAGAGCTAGAATTGTCCTGTCAGGATTTTTGCCATGATAAATGTAGAAGTCGCACCGGAGTAGTGCTGAACTAGCTGTTGGAGTGTCTCAAACTGGGCCCTGGTCGTGATGTAGTAGCCCCCACTGTCCAGTTTGCGAATCTTATAGTGTTTGACATGGTCTCCCTTGATGTCATCCCAGTCTTGGATGGAGAGAGAATAGGCTCCTGCAAGACGGAAATAAAAAACAACAGGCAAGTTTTGATAAGGTGTTATATCAGGTGGGAATAAGAAGTATTACATTTAATTACAGTGCTTCGTGAAAAAGACCTAATGCAATAGATAGGGAGCAAATGCATAATTAATGGTGATTGGTCTGATGACTTTATTGTAGGACTATAGACGAGTAATTTGCTTTTAAAAGCATTCGTATTTAAGTTTGATCTCTTGACAAATACATATATCTGCCTCCCTGCAGTTTAAAAGCATTCACAATGTCAGCACTCGTTAGTCTGAGTACCTTTGGTTGTTTCACTCTCACGGATGAGGAAAGTGCCTCTGGCATTGCCGTTGGAAAGCAGCTGCCTCTCTGCGTCCTTTCGACCTAATTTACCAAAGTACCAACTGGAGAAGAGAAAGAAAGAGTCAAAATGTGAAGTGTCATTTCTATTTTGAGTGTTTTTCAAACCTTCTATTTGTTTTGGCTATGGCAGTATGCTGGACTAAACTAAAGATAATGAGATGGAGAGCTTTCTGTTGAGGTCATTGTACTTTCTTGAATGAGGCAGTGTGTGTGGCAGCGTGACCAAATGAAAAAGTTTCACTCACTCCTCCGCTTGGATTGAGTCCACAGGAGCTACGTAATTGCTTGGAATGTATCCAGTTCCACCTGTTGTAAGGGAACGAGCCTCCCACCAATCTCCCTCACTGAAAGGAGGATGACAGAGGTTAGTTGGAAGATGCATGGCGGGGAAAAAAACAGAGAAGTGGATTAAAATATACAGAGAATCTACACACAGTGGATTTGCCGAACGGGGAGATATGATCGCCCGTTCTAACAACATTTAAAGCAACTGCTGTCTTGCTGGAACAAAAAGTTGAAAGTCTAATTCTAAAAGATAGTTTTCCTCATTGATAGATTAGAAAGAATTTAAACAAATGTTCCAATTTATTATGTCCATAAAGGCAGATTAACAGTGCAATCGGTGCACAAAATACCAACACTATGATGAAGTTGAAGTTGGTTCTCCCTCCTCTCCTGGATGACAAAATATATTCTGCGGTGCCTCCCTATTGTGTCATGAGCTAGGGGTTAGGTGTGGTTCTGGCTGAATATCTTTTATTTTAGACCACCGCACTTAATGACAAGGAAACAGTATTTTGCAGCGCATTTCCTCCTAAAATGTCAGTCTGCTGTTGCCATGGCTAACACCTACGCTGAGCTCTGTTTTCACATTTGAAAAGTGTGTACACACAACAGGAGCAGATTAATTGTAGTGTGCCGTTACACAAATTTTTGATTGCATCTTATAAAGATGATTTCAGAGAAAGCAAAAGAAAGTCATCCTATAACGATTTCTATCTAAAACAAAACAAAACATGTAATTAAATCTTTTTCCGAGTGGTACAGACAGTTTGGGAATAAGCTTTCAATTTCAGTTCAAGGGAAAGCTTTACTTTACTTCAATTCCTTAGGCACCATAAGCCGTTCTACCAAATGCTGCGGGATTATGGTCTTTTAAAAGAGAGGCAAATGAACTCTTTAAAATTAAAAAAGAAGGTTCTACCTGAGGACTGTGGTTGGTTAAAGGTAGAGTAAAAGCAGCTATTGGGTTAGAAAGTAACAGCGCAAGACTGCTGCATTACAGCTGCCCATTTGAAAAAAAAAAAAACATCTAGCACCTTCAGAAAAGTCTAAACCTGCCACAATCCAGGCAAAGATTTCAACACACAGTTTTTTCGTCTGTGCCTGTGAAGCAAGATTTAATCAAAAATGAAACCATCAGATAATAATGACAGACAGAAAACAGGGAAAAGAAAGCATGACCACCACCCACTTCATACTGTCATGTACATGTTTTCACACTTACGTGCTGTTGAGGATCTGGAACCTCTCCCCCTTCCTGAAACTGAGGTCATCCTCGGTCCTGGCTTCATAGTCATAAAGAGCCACGAACAGAGTCACCCCTGGAGAGAAAACAACATATTACATATGGTGGGTGGAGTTAGTAAAGACTTAAATTGATTAAATCTGTGCTGCCTTTTTGTTGTGCCTTTATTGTAGATTTGCACAATCCATAACTCTTATAAGTGCACAAAGGGAAGTTACTTTAAGAAATACAATTTTTTTTACAGTTATTAAACATAACTCCATGTCTCTGATTAAACAACTAGAAAATACCAACTATTTATCTTTGCAAACATCGCACTGACGGATCAAACTGTTGAGAAAATGTCAGAAGAGTAGAAAATAGAAACCACCTGCTAAGGATTTTAAAAAGTAGGCTACATTTTTTGGACACTTAGCCATAATTTGTGATATGAGAAATGTCACCATCGTCCTCCTAAGCATGTCACAATGCTGGAACAGGGACGTTTAAGCTCAGTTCATGGTTGAATTTTTACGAGACAAAAATACTCACTTTACAATCTTTGGCAAACATTTAGCTTCAAGCTACCATTTTAGAAGAGTCATTGCTTTTTTTTTCAAATTGGTGAATGTAACTCTGCTGATACAGACTTGCATGAAAGTACTCCATACTATTTGAGATCAAAGCATGACCTGCTGTTAGTGTAATCCCTAAATGTTCTGTCTTAAGTATATTAAGTAGCAGGCTGTAAAGTCAGTTCCTGTACAATAAAGGCCGAGCAATGCCTGGTCTTTCTGCTTCTCAGATGTGAGCGCTGGCAATAATTTAGGTCGCTGAGTTTTCCATTAACTCGCAGACTGTAAATGAATATCTTCAGCAGAAAGATGAATCTATCAAAGCAAGACAACCTGTGGATCATGTGCTTATGTTTTACAAAGAAGCATCAAACTAACGACAATGGAGAAGAAAAATTGAAAGAAAATTGAATATTACCCAAAGTGTACTTTGACCCATTTTATTCTGCCTTCTTTACTAAATAAAATGTAGTTGGTAGACCTGAAGGCTGTTTGGGCCTTTTATGATAAAAGAAATATGGGATAATCTGAGCAAAGAAAACCATCATAAGCCTGCCCGCTCTACTTGTTAGCCGTGTGAGGGGATGGCTCACGAAATAGGTCTTGCCCTCACAGGGATATATTGTAAATTCTCTTCTCTATTTAAAATAGACGGCTTATCTTAAAAGTCATCAGATTTGTGGTCAGCTGCTCTGTTGAAAAAACAAGAACAAAAAAACCAAAACAAACTGCTGAGCGGGTCTAAAAAGTAGTTAAATCCAGAAACCAATCCACTTAGCTGGCAGCACTGAAAATCTCTTTTCCGAGCTCTTCTTCGATGGTGGCACGAACTCTCTATCTGCAATGAAATCTCTCTCATGGAATCTGTACTTCTTTTTACTAAATAATATCCTGTCGGTGCTGATGTTGTATGTGCTTACACTGAAAAGAGGTTTTCCTCAAAGAGCCTTCAAACAGCCCGCAGAAAACCAGTTTGGTCAAACTCTGACAATCCATGTACCATTTTTGAGAAAAAAAAAAAAATAATCACCACAGAAAGTTGACTGACTGTTTCCAACTCACCTGTTCCTCCCCGAGACCGCAGCGTCCCAGACTGTGAGGATGTGTGGACCCCTCCGAACACAGTCACTCCCTGTGTAGCTGTGCTGTGGAAGTTGTTGTAGTTGGGAATGGTGGTGACCCCAAAGCTGGGGTAGTGCTGCGGCGTGGGGTCGGACCCATAGCGGAAGCCCGAGTTGTGTGAAAGGCTGGTCTCCCGGTCATCAGTGAGTTTTGCTGCTTCTTTATCCTTACATTGGACACAGCCCATTCTCTACTGTCTGTGGGGTGGAGAGAGACAGAGACAGAAATGGGATTAACATGTAGGTGAAAAAAATAGCTCAAGAGCCGTCTCCACTGGGGAAAGTTTGATTCAATGTGCCATTATTTCGGAGTTTCCTTTGAGAGTTACAAAGAGGCTTCTGAAAATCTTTTAATTAGGCTGAAAATTAAAAATGATACTTTACACTCTGTTGCTAATTAATCAGAGGACCTTAGAGTGACAGAGCTGTATGTGCTATGTGATATAACCACTGTACACTTTATTGAGGATTTTAAATACTTTAGGCTGAGAATATTCATTTTAACGTGCCATAAAACAATTTCACAGCACCGCTCATTACGGTGAACGTGCATGACCACATTTGAGTCATTTACAGCCATCCATAGCATTTACAAGGTGGCCCATACTTCATTTTAGTGCGCTTTATAGAGCCACACAAACACATGCACACCCACCCACACATGGACGGATTCAGAGCACGGAGTTAAAACATGCAGCCCGCTCAACAGAAAACCGCTCCACAGCACTACGCTGGGTCTCATGAGAGGAACTGATGAAGGATTTGACCTCACTAAAGCAAAGCTAAACCAGTTTCTCTAATGAGTAAGGCCGTCTGCAATGTCAATTAAAATGAGCCTTACCATCTTTATAGACCCTGTTAAAATGATGAACATCCAGACTCGAGGTGCACCCCTTTTATGCCCTGAAAGCTGGACTTGGAGCCGGAAAAACGCAGCTGGGAAGAGGCTGCTGACAGCAAAATGGTCTTTCATCAGCATTAGCAGCCAGCTGACTTCAGACACGGCTAATTGGAAACACACTTGTTTACAGTGTCGAAGGCTGAAGAGAGCTGGTGCTGGTGGCCTCGCAGCAGGCTTAGGACAAGAAAAACCATCACACCTCTTCTTATCGTGGCCGAAGCTTCTATTATCCTAAATAACCCCATGGTTTGTGAACTCAAAGGCCATGTCTTGAGTTTGTCAGTTTTTGCAAACGTATTTGTAAAATAAATTTTCTTGTTTTAGAAATCTTTTCATGGAGGAACACTATGTCCTAAAACATAAAATGGACTAATAGCCGTGTTTTGGAGAACCTGAGTTTAATGGTTACTAGAAAAGCAACATGGTATATGACTGAAGTCCTTCAGGCCTGTTTTACATTTACTAGTAAATGCCTACACAGGAAAAAAGTGTGAACAGATGTGTTGCTGGCTGTTTACTGAGAGCAACAGGGTTCTAGTAAAGACAGGCACTGCATGGAGCTGAGGGCTAACTTTATATTATGCATGTGGACTCATTTGAAAGCCTTTTATGTTTAAGGCAAATGGAAAATAAAAACGTTTCCATTTGGTATCATAACTACTCATTTTGTTGGAGTAGAAAATAGCCTGAGTAGGAAAAGCAAATGGGGAACAAAAAATCTGCGGGATTCCTGGACGAGTATCACGTTTAAGCCGTCCTCTCAAGCTTTTCATTTTAACGCGTTTGTATTATCTTGATCAACACTTAAAAGAAGACAAGATGTCCTCTAAGTAAAATTTCCTTTAAGTCTTAAAGTAAAAGTTAGAATATTACAATACAGGTAAAAAATTGCCTGTACAATTCTTACATTTAAGCACCTCCTATTGTAAACATAACATTATTAGTAATAAATACAAAAAGAAGATTTACCATTGTTTTATTATAGCTGGTTAAGAGGAGCATGTTTGTGTATTTTATCTAGAGCAGTCTAATCCAGGGGGAATTAATCTGGGGGGAAGATTTTCTCCTAAATCTCACCTGAAAATCATGACATGATTTTTGTAACAAAAGATCTGTAGAGTTTAACCATCTTACCCAAATGGATTAATTATATTCAAGAAGAATTGTTTCAGAACTGTTAACTTCAGCTAATTCCATTGATCATACATTTTGTGCACTAATAGAAACTTACAGTTTTGGCAAAGTGAAGACCGGAACAAATCACTGCTGCATTATCTGTTGCCTACTAATGCTGTGCCCTGAGGGATTCTGAAACAGAAAACACATGCCGACCAACTTCAGAATCTCACCCCAAGCGCAGGATATCTTTTTCTCCAGGCAGGACAATATTTGCTCTACTCTGCTTAACTAACACAAGAAGGGAGCCACTGCAGAGAGAAAGAGATCATTGTGATTCATGACTGCCAATAAAACTCCCATAAAATGCCCAGAAGAAGAAACAAGGCTATAGCAGCATTACAGTATGATCCCTGACCAAAGCTGAGACTGCAGATAGAAACACAGAAAAAGATTGCTCTTGTAAGCCGAAAGATATAAAATCATCCTCTGTGACATGAATATTTATGTCTCCAATCTTATGGTGTTTACATAGTCCATATCTGCCGCACTTTTCCAAGCAAATCTAAAATGTTCACATTGGCTTTTTTCACAAGTTATTTAGGGATGAGGGTTTTTTTTGTCGTACGCTCTACAGGTATTTACAGTCTTTTCTGACCTCCTGTGAATGATTTTTGATAGCTCAAATGAAAAAAAAGTTTAAGCACTGAGAAAATAATCAAAACACTCTAAGCTAAACAATCCAGTCTTTCCTTGAATAAATGCATATTTTTTTAACAAATGAAGTCTGTTAATTCTTTGGTGAAGAATCACACAAGCACGAATATATAAACTGAACTGACTGCTATAAAACAGCTAAGGTCTGGTTACTGTTTTACTGCAGAGATTGAAATAGCACTGCCTCCATTCCTAGAAGGGGCCGAGTATCTGAGGGAAAATCTCTTGTTGTCATGCTGCCTGTGAAGATTACAAAAATCTTCTGGCTCTTCATGTAAAAAGCCTGAGACTTTCGTTTCTTATACATATATGTAATTATTGTGCGATACAGAATCAAAGCCCTAAACATGGGTGCTGAGCGTTTCGTTGGCTTTTTAAAGCTCACTTCTCTTTTTGTGTACATGTGAATATGAATCATGCGATTGTGCTTTGTATTCTGAGACTGCAGTTAAACTATTTGGACACGAGAAGTTTCAGGACATGATAACTTGGATTAAACAGCAACAGGCAGAGTTATGAAATTGTCAGAGGAACAAAATAACAATCTCTCATAAATTCTCCACCCCTCCGAAGATGCGGGAGGGGAGTATTCTGTATTAATGTTACACTTAACACCAAGTATCATTTTTAAAATGCCATGACAAACCACGGCAACAATGTGCTTCAAAGTCAGAGTTCTCACAGCATTCCAGCATGACCGAGAAGCACGCAGGACACAAGGTAGCATGTGCAGCGTGATGCTTGACCGGGAGCACCCCCAAAGAGAGAGGATGATGGTATCACGGTCCCGGGACCTCTTCCTCTGCTTGGGTATCACATGACCACCTCAGCCTCAGTGAGAACAATCACTTTGCTATTTACATGCCTAAATGAGCAGCTTGAATCAAAGAGGGCCACAGCAGCGTGATAAGAAGAAAATTCCCGTGGGGACAGGACAGTTGCTGCAAAACAGTTAACAGCAAAAGACGGTTGATGAAAGAGTGGGAGGACTTGACTTTGACACAGAAACAGAGTAGTCAGGGCTATAAAATCCAATCTCATCTCCCATCTTTTGCGTACACTTTGCTAGCTTTGCAGTAATAGAACTGGTAATCTAAACCACTGGGATCGAATGGAAATTCATTTGCCACAATAACTGCATTTTGATGCTGTGCATGCACAAATCCTAATCATCTGCGAGTATATTAACACTCACAGCGCCGGGAGCCATCATGAGAGAATGGTTCATTTCTAGAAAAGCTGCAATCAATATAGTAAAGTGAAAGGGCGCAGATGTCAGGGTCATTCAATGTAGATGATCGATTAAACAAGAGTTGCTCGGAGAGGCCTGAGAAACGCACATATGTGCAGCCTGATGTCGTGTTATGCTATGGAAGAGAAAAACAGAGTCTGTGGGGCTCCGACAATCGGACACTTCTTTTAGTCCATGAGGGCCGCTGTAATACAGCTTTCAGATGTTTCCATCTGCTAATGGTGTTCCACTTGATTTGAATCAAGTGTGCTGAACAAGGGGAACATCTAAACCCTGAAGGGCCGGATTTGGACACCCCAGCATTAGACGCTGTTCATTCCAGTTGGTCATCTGATCCATTCATATATAAAATGAGACCAGAACACCCAATTTAGTGATTCAAAGTCAGAGTGAAATAACTGTCTTGTGATTTGGTGGATGAGAGGTCATGCTAAATGGGTTGTTTAATATAGAAAGTCTTCATTACTTAACCATACTTACCAATGCCTCCAGAACATAATCATTTTGCAATTCAAACAGTTTTTAAACAGGACAGCTTTGTTAGATTTGATGTATGGGCCTTTTACCCTCAGATCACCGACATGGCTCACGTCACAGTTGAACTTCCCACATGCCTCCCACTCACATTGCATTCGCACTGACCTTATTTGGGCCAAAAATTGGACTTTTTGTTCGTTCAACAAAGACAAATGCAAACGAGCATCACTTTCAGTCGTGTGCCATTTGAACGGCTGAGAAACACACGGCCCCGTTCACTGGATTCGGTACAAAACTGACAGTCTCCCCCTTATGGCTGCCATTCTCTGAATAGTTACAACATTTGCTTGTGTCAGACAAATGAGTTCATTCAGTGTATCAACAACAAGACAATGGCCACAGTGCACTTTGCTACAAGATTATGAGCACAATGCAATGTAGTGTTAAAGCTTTCAAAGCATTCTTCATGCTCTGAATGAACAGAGCCAGTTACAAAACCCACAGCTGAGCTTCATACAGTATGTGGGTTTAAGCCCAACTGCGTTTTAGTGTCACAATGCTCACAGTTGAGTGTGTTGAGTCATGTTCTTAAATCGCTCAGCTCATTTTAAATATCCATTCAGGGTGAGTATTACCTTGGAGAAGAAAAAGTAAATCAGAGGATCTTGTTTTATTACAGAAACTAAGGAGATTCTGCCAGTAAGTTTGAACTTAGGTTTAAACTTTCCAGCACAGGGCAATGGTCAGTGAACAGGTCCAGTGGAAATAATGACACAGCATTGTGCTGGAAGTGTTTTAGTTTAATTGAATCACACTTGAGGTTATGAAAAGTGCAAACCGAGGCATGTGCCATAAAAGGCTGCTGGAGATCCAGAAAAAAAAAGCTAGCCTTCTTGTTGGACAACTAAGTCCAAACCTATAACAAAAAAAAGCATATGGAATAAAAAAAGACACAAATAGTCTAAAAAGTCTCTGATAGTTTGGCATGAGGTGCGAACCAAACTCCCCTCATAAGATTAATGACCAACCTGCTCTGCAGCCACATTCATTTGATAATTTAAGACGTGTACACCAAATACACTGCCATCCTCATTTGGAATAATCAATTTAATGTTTCAGGAAAGGAAAGAGAAACATCTTCAGAATTCTCTGAATGTTAAAGCAAAGATTTTGTATACAAATCAAATGAGGCATGCCCATTTCAACCATAACAGAGTGGTGCTGCAGCACCAATTAAGAGTTTGTTCCAATTCTATCAAGGCACAGATCAAGTAGCAACATTAGGTAGGGACAAAGTTGGGGGGGGGGGGGGGACTGATCATCCCATTTCATAAGCATCTTCAAAAATAGTTTAATGCTTGAATGAAAACACTTAGAGAGGCTGCATCTCTTGTGGTTGGATTTAGTTTTATGGGTGTTCTCTGAACAGTCACAAGTGGCAACTCTGACTCATATTTGAGGACATTCTTGACATTGTGTTTTTTCTCCAAAGTGACCTCTAAGTAGTTGTGGCAGTTGTTGACTTCTACCAGCTTGTGTGTCTGTGTCTTTGGTTGTGTTATGGCCAGAGAGAGAAAAAAAGGCTCCCGAAACCACATTATGCAACTCCCCTTCTTTTCAAAATGTGACATATCACGCAAAGCACTCCTCTCCACTGGCAGCACGAACCCCCGCAGCTTCAGGCTGCTGCTGGCTGAACCTTTTTTGTCGGCCAAAAGCACTAACTCTTCCCTAACTTGCTGCACATGGGGAGCCCAGCACTGAGCTGGCAGCCATACGCGCACGGCTCGTCATCCTCTGCGCTCGCCTACAAGATGGATGGCCGTTTCCCCTCAGACACCGCAGACAGCCCCATTTAAGCAGCTTTAACTGGATCTGCGACAACCGGCCGGTGAAATCAACTTAAAGAATATGACCATTCATTTGGAGGGGGGGATCAATAAAGGGGCTGTCAGCGGGCAGCTCCGTCCAGTGGCACGCGCGCGCGCGGCCTCAGTGGTCAGCTCTGCTCTGCAACGCATCCATCCCTGCTGCTGCAACGCCAGAGCCCCCCTCCACAATCACAGCACAGCAAAACATCCACACCCGCCGCTTGTTTGGTGTTTTTTCCCCTCCTGATTATTTACGGGGCCGGTATAAACATGTGTCAAAACAAAGACACAAATGGGGGGGAAAAAAGCCCTGAATGAGCGTCTTGCTTAATTGCGGCGGTGTTATTTATCTCTCTGCTGAGATGGATTCAACCCACAGTGCAACAGAGAGAGGACAAGGCGGGTGCACCGAACGGAATTCAACGCCAGAAAAGAACAAAAAAAATAAAAAAAGAGAGAAGAAGCACACAAAGCTTACCGCAGGAAATCAGATTAATCCATAGGAGTTTGCAGAGGGACGTGTGCGGCGGAATTCGCGGATGTTTTTCTCCTCTCTGATCGAGTCTTTTCTTCGCACAGAGGGAGAATAGCGGGGGGAGACCCGACCCTGCCGATTCCGGAGAGGCTGTCGCCGCCGTGTGTACGGAGGATGACGATGGTGAGCACCGTCAAGCCAGCTGGAGTGGGGGGAAAACACTTCCGGTCAGGCACTTCAAGATAAAACTGCTGTTGAGTTTATTGAGCCTCACAGAAAACGAATGCCAAAGACATTTGACGCTCCTTTTTTCACAAAAATACCATTTTACCAATACGAGTCTTTCCCAGCTCCACCATGAGTTTACAATGACGTGATGATAACATTCACGAATGAGCATGAAAAGCAGTGTGTTCTTTGGTTTTACTTTGACTGGAGGGGGGCTGTGTGAGAATCCGCTTGGCTTTTTGCTCGTTTTGACGCAGCTGTTATTGCGTCCAGCTGATGCGGATCCGCACGGACCAACTTCCCGTGATTGACAGCGCTTTCGTCCAATGAGAGGCTACAACGAACAACGGGGCGCCCCTCTTTTCTTTGAGGGTGCAGCAAAGCAGGGCAGTTCAGCCGGTTTGTTTTTGTTCCAGCTCTCGGGACACCTCGATGCGTATTTCGGTGCAAGAGATCCATTTTCAATCAAAGTCCAAACACACAAGCAGAGCACGCGCAGGCCCAATTGTGTGTTCGTCATCCTCGTCCAACGATTACTCTGGGCAGGGGTTTTCCTTCCCCTACACCTCTAGGGTCCGAAAGGAGTGAAAGCAAGAGCTCCCTTTCTGCTAAGGAAAAAAAAATCCCCAAAAAGACTTAAATAAAAACAGCTGTTTGGAGCTAAGTGACTTGCTTGAGTTTTTGTGGCTGTGAGTGGAATCCATGGGATCCAAAAAACAAACACTATTGTTAAAGTTACCAGACTTACCACAGTGTTCAGTGAATTGTAACATGTAGGCCACATCTGACACCATTTGCATAATCCTGCACAAATCTTGGTGTCCTCAAGCTGCTGACTCAACCAAAATCCAAAATATAGTCACATGGTTGTGGTTCAGAATGGTAGAATTTCAAAAGTCCTTTAGTGACTGTCACGTATTCTAAATAATTTTAGAATTTTAACAGATGACCAACATTTCTGACGATCTGTGTTTCATTTTAGATTTATATTTTGAGTTTAATATAAGGAATTTTGGTGTGCGGTCTGCAAAACTTTGTTGCAGAGCTGCTTATTGTGGCAAAGCAGATCCTTAACAAATCTAAACTGCCAGCCCTGAAGGCATCTTCACATAAAAAATTGTATGAAAATACAACTCTCAACTGAGAAGTGTTTTTTTTTTAACCCAAATCCTCCTAAAAATGCTTTATGTGTATAAAAGAATACGTTCAGTTGTCCTTGTTATAAACAGCAGCTTTTGGATTTTTTTTCTTCTGTAATGAAAGAAAAGTTTAATCTTTTTGTTTTTATTTGAAACTCCTTCATGCCCTACTGGCTTTGTCCCCGGGTTTAAATATTCATTGCAACTCAAAATGATAATTACGGCTTTGCATCTGATCAGCGTGTCACAACAATGAAGGTGGCCTCATTAGCTTGCTGTGGGAAATGGGTGGGGGGGTTGGGGGGGGGGGGGGAAAGGGGTCCCCCTAATCCTCAGGCCGCGGTGAGCCGCCGTGCTCCCGCTCTGCTCCTCCTCAGCCCGGGTGTCACAGTTGCCAAAGCCCCCCAACAGCAAATGTGGAGCTTTTTCCTTGCAGCCATTTTGGAGCAGTTGTCATGGAGATGTGGGTCATGCAGTAATGGGAGAGAGGCGACTTGTGGCTGGTGGTGGAGGGTGAGCACTGCACGGCGGCGGAGCAGACAGCAGAAGCAGCAGAGAGCCATAAACTCATTATATCTGGGTCACTGGGATGCTCCAGCTGCAACAAGACAAGCAGACAAGACGCTATTATGCAAGAAGAGAGACGCAGGAGTTATGGGCGCCTGGGCTTCTGGTTATAGGGGAGTTCTGTTTATTCAGTGACGCGTGTTTCGGGGGGGTTGAAATGATAGTAAAGCCATGAGAGCAGCTTAGCTCTGCTGGACCCAGCTGCGTGTTTACACAAAAGCACATATCAAATAAAGAGCCGAGAGGAACAAATGCAACTTTGTACATCGAGCACTTACAGTGAAAGCCATAGGAAAGTTTTGTAGGCTTCATCTTTACATTGTCTATGCATGCAATCACAGAGAGGCAGAAAATGTTTATTTTTGAAAAACAACTGAAAGATTACCAAAAATATTGCTGTATAGATGAATGAATGAATCAGCAAATGAAAGTAGATGGGGAAAACAAATGTTTGTATAGCGATTGATCTGTTTGATTTATAGATTAGCTTTTGATTGTTTACACCAATTTCAGAAGGAACAAGACAATAGCAAAGTACAAATTGCATTTCAGAGATGTAACAATGCAAAAACAAACACAATGCAGAGTATTTGTGCCATGTGTGTTTAAAACAGGCTGTGTTTCTTTTTGTGGTTGTAGTTTCTTCCCCTAAATCCTGTGACTTCTCAAATGACCTTGTGTTTTTATTTGATTTAGATTTTAAACACAGTGTGGCCCCCCGGGTCCTATAACTATGCTGACCAGGTCTTTCTTTGCCATGAAATCAACGTCCAGCCGAATCTGTAAAAAAGGGGGTTCTCTCTGGGAAAAGGAGCATAACAAATCAAGTTTGGGCACTCTGTCGTGGGGATACTAAGTTGTAGGCCATATTGTTGTGTCGCCCCTATTGTCCACGGGCCCCTCTCCGTGACCTCCCCACTTTCAGATCCCGGACTTGTGATTGGTGGAGACGGCGGGGCTTTGTCGTCATAACCCCAGTGCCCATTCATCGGCGGACTTGGGCGTTGTACTCCGCATCTCATTTGCGGCGGGGCCAATTTCTCCATCTACAAACTCCGCTCGAGGAAAAAAAAATTGGAAGAATTCGCGTTTCGTTCGCACCTTCGCGATATTTTTTCAAGCGCTCATTACTCTCTTTGCGGTCATTTTGATTTCAGTCTTTTCCTCTCGGCTTTGCTTGCAAAGGGAGGCGTCGGCGTTCCTGAAATTTTTTGGGTGGAAGCTTGCGGTCTTTGTTCATTCATCTGATCGGTTGGGTTCCTTTGTTGGAACAAAAGCATGGGAGCACAAATCTCCAAAACCGCTGGAAAAGAGGAAACTGCGGTGGAAAAGCCTGCAGAAGGAGCAGCTGCTGCATCCAAGACGAACGGCCAGGTAAACTGTGTTTTTAATTATTTAAGAAATTTGCCCAAATGGAATTTAGTCTTGAATTTAGCAATGTGTTGCGTCAATGGCGTGCTCCATGTTCCCTGTAGCGCATCCCCACGCTCACCGGCATTCAGGGAAAGTGGCCACATGGATCCACATCACCCAGCCTCTGTATTTTAACGGTTTTTAATCGTTCTGCAACGCTTTACCCCACGTTTTTCTTTAAAAACTATCAAATAACGCGCAAACTGCAAAAACTAAAATCGACAAAAGGTTGACTGATTAGTCCAGATGCTCCTTTTTTCTGCATTTAAAATGTCATAATCGTAAGTTTTTTTTTTTGTTTAAATTTTTATTCATTTATTTTTGTTTAGTAGTAAAAATCTGCCGCCACTTTGGCCCATTAGATGGAAATTTGTGCAGCGGGGCTTTGTGGTCTCCTCACTGTGGCATGGCCATTTTAAAAACGGTACCACGCCTTTGTTGCCAGTTTCAAGAAAAGAGCCACGTTTTTTTTCTTTCCGTTTTTCTTTTGTTTAAAACCATCAAACCAAAGCGGGGATGAAAATCGATTAAACCATTCGAAATTAGATTCACTCGTATTTGTATTTTGTGGTTCGATAAAACGGGATAATGGGAAAGGGGAAAAAAAGAAATTCCTATATTGTTTCCACCCACTCTACGCCGAACGCCCCCCAGTGGTTCAGGCGAGTACTGCAGTCTGGACGAGCCTACTGCTGAAAGCCAAAGGCCTGTCGTCATTCTCCTAGTAACCGATGTTGCTGCAGTTTTTGGCTAATTTCTTATTGGCTATCGCGTGTCTGCAGTTTTGATCAAATATTATAGCACCTTAGATTTTTAGAAGAGGTTAGTGGGGACCATGTGAACACAGGTTGATCCACAGTGGCAAGCTCTTGCTATATTGTGTGTTTTTTATTCAAGTCTTCTTTAATCTTTCAGGAGAATGGTCACGCCAAGACAAACGGAGATGCCTCTCCTGCAGCAGAAGAAGCGAACAAAGCTGATGTGCAGGCCAATGGAAGCACTCCTACTGAGGAGGCGCCAAAAGAAGAGGGGGAAAAAGCCGAGGGCGCCGAGGCCAATGGAGAGAAGGAGCCGGCCGCCACAAACGGAGACACCGCCGCCAAGCCGGAGGAAGGCACTCCATCAACCAGCGAGGACGGCAAGCAGAAGAAAAAGCGCTTCTCCTTCAAGAAACCGTCCTTCAAGCTGAGCGGCTTCTCTTTCAAGAAGTCCAAGAAGGAGTCTGAGGAGGCAGCGGAGGACGAAGCGGCGGCCGCCGCCGCCGAGCCGGCCGAGGGGGAGAAGCCCGCGTCGGAAGAGGCGGCTGCCGAGGAGGCCAAGCCGGCGGAGGGGGCCGAGGAGGGAGCCAAGGAGGCTGCGGCCGAGGAGCCAAAGGCGGAGGAAGCCGCCGCTGCTGCTGCCGCCGAGGAGAAACCAGCCGAAGCTTCGCCTACCGAGCCCGAAACGGCCGCCAGTCCAGAGGCCGCCGCCGTCCCCGCCGCCGCCACCGCCGAGTAGTCCTGCTGAGAGAGAAACCGGAATGAAGGATGACGACGTAGCCTGTCTGAAGGAACGCGAGGACTTGTCTAAAACCAGGGAATCTTTTTTTTTTTCCTTTATTTTTTTTCCTTTTTTTTGTTTGTTTACTACTCTGCAACCATCTCATCCATAATGACTGCAATGTCCCTGGCAGTGGTGGAAAGGAGGGGCAGCAGAGAATGTGCTGCTTCCTCACTGCTCATTGCATTTGTGACCTGGGTGAGTGTGAAAGTGCAAATGTGAGTGGGAACGGATTTCCACCCCCTCCCCCTCCCCTCCTTTTCCCCCCTGACACTATACCATGACATGTTGCTGAATTTTACATATTTAATCGAAGTATTTTGGTGCTGGGCAATTGGATGTAGCAGCTAAAGCTGTGTCTGCAATATCTGACACATTGTGATATTTAAAGGGAAAGTCCTTATCCAAGTCTTAAATGTTGTCTTTGCAGTGCACAGTTGTTTACAACTCTTCAAGCTCAATGCTCCTGTGGACTCAAACCATTCCTGAACTAGATTTAGTGTCCAGTTGAAACAATAGGTGCTCATCACTCATTAGATTCCACCATCTCATGATTCTGTAGTAATGCACGTTGTATAGACTTTGATATTACTGGTTTTATGACTAAGATGTACCTAATGACTGAAGTTTTTAACTGATTACCCATTGTAAATGATTTTTTTTTCTTGTTTTTTCACCATTTGTAAGATTGAATAAAATTGGGAGATGTTTTAAGCAGATTTTGCATCAAGCTGTGATGACTACAAAACCACTTCAAATCTACACAAAGCACAGAGTCAGAGTTAAGGATGCCATCTTTAGGTGGCATTTTTTTCTGTACATAATGAGGCTCACCTTATTCAATATGGAATGTAACATTGCCTGCAAACTGGTAACAAGGTGTTAAGTTTTTCTGTGAGTTCTGCTGAAGAATAAAGCAATGAAATGTGAATTGGCATTGTGAGGTCGTTTATTTATAAAGTTTGGCCAATAATAATGATGGCCTTTTTTACAGAGATATTTCTGTTTGGGGTTGATAATCAGCTTTTTTTTTGTGTCTGGGTGGGCTTACAGCACCCTCATGTGGAGCACTGAATTAGTTTTTTCTCACTTGAAAGTTCAGAAAAACCTGAAAATATCCACTGATTTAAAATTTTGCTTTAACACTTCAGATCCAGTTCACTTTTAGTATTTGGCTCTGGAATATGTATTTATATTCCCTCTGAGTAATGTGTTTGCTTGCATGTTACATTTTTGGGAAATGAGCAATTGAGGAACCACAACATAGTTGTTTTCAGAGATATAGGATTTGGAGATATAGTTGTTTAAACCAGTCTCAACATCTGGTTTTGCTCCAGAAATAAATCTTTGAAACTACATTTTTAAGATGTTTAGAGGTTTAGTATCTGCTGTGCAGATCCAAATACTGCCTTTGGTCTTTGCTTAGGGAAATTGGGATTCTTTCTATGAAACCTCAAAACTCCATGAAAACACCGGAATCTTTAAAAAGTGAAGGAGACTGCTTCAGACTTCTCAAGGGTGTTTTTTAGTGGTCCACAGCTGTGTCTGTGTTCATTGCAAACCACCTATTTCCTTTGCACCCTGTTTAACCCTGTGTACTTTAGCTTTGGACACCACAAGAAGGGTGTGCTTTGCACATAATATTCTATTTATGCTTCCTGGCTTGTCCAGTTTGGTCAGATTGTTAAGGCATTTTCTACTCAGTTTGTCCCCTAGGGATATTCGTAAATATCCCTTGGTGTCGCACATCGCCCTTCATCAGCAACACTGCCTGCTGCTTCTCTGCTTGGCTTAATTTCCGCCTTTGTTATCCCTCCAGTGCACAGACGGATCTGTGACATGCCAGGTGAGGCCACCACAGTTCAAATATATGCATAAATATCTGTGTGCTTCAGACGGGGTTGACCAACAGCAGCACCACATCTGTGCTCCTGTCTGTGGCACCAACAGCTCATGTCTGAGGCAGTGCCCTCAGATGGCAATCCCCTGTGGTTTCTTTCAAAAAGCATCCTTGGGCCTCTCACCTAACCACCGTCTCACCCTCACTCCCAAGGAAGATCACAAACACGCTACCCTGCCCTGTCCCTCATCCCACACCCAGGATATTTTCAGCGCACCCACACTCAGGCTTCCATGGTAGAGTAGCCTTGGTAAACACAGGCTAGAGAGCAGGCAACCATTGGCCTTCAAATCTTATCAGTCTCATGGTTCTCAGCATGTATTTGGGCTCAGTGGTAACTGTGTACATTTGCTCAAATACTATAGTGAAATATGTATAGATTTCATGTTTCTGTTTCAGCAGGAGAAATGAGAACTCTCAAATCCCATCCAGATACTTTCACCAAGTTAAAGCCCACGACCAAGTTCACATTTGGAAGGAAATCTAAACAACAAAGGTACTCTGAGGTAAAGAGCTCAGTTTTGTGGGAGGAGAAAATCTGAAACAAAACATTTTTTGCGACACACATTCCAACAAGTTGCAAAGCAAGAGCTGCATGAATAAGGTTGCACAAAACTCTTACAGACACATTTATAAGTTGGTCTGAGTTTTATACCTTTCCCGATAGTTGTTTTAATTCCTTTTCATCCAATACAATATGGAACCCCTATATGAAGTTGCATATGTTTTTAAATGTTTATCTTCCCACCTTCTGAAGGAATGACACTTGTGTAGTTTTCTGGTGTGAGAGAGAAGTGCTTTTTTAGAGGAAGAAGTAGTCTTTATTCTGTGACCCACCATGCAGATCAGTGTCAACATGGCTCCCACATAGCTACAGGTGTTCACACTTAAGGATGTTGAGGAATACCATTTGCAAAGATACATACAGTATGTAAAGGTATAAACAGGTATTGTTGTCATTGCTGGATATTGCCTCATTTGAAAGGAGGGTGTATGGTTGCACAGGTGTCAGTCTTCTCCTTAGGAATATTCACTTTTGTTAAACTTTTCTATATTTTGACAATGATGTCAAAGGTTGAAATTGGTTTAATCTTCCTCTGGTGTTAGGGTTGGCACACATTTAACACTGGAGGAACCCTAGATGAAAGAACTGTGCGAGCAATACCTAGACTACCCTTTTTGAGTGTGTGGAGCTGCTTAAAACCTAATGAAAAGCTTTTTGTGTTGCCCTCTGTGATTATGCTCCAAACCTCTGGAGCCCACAAGGGATGTGAGAGGTGTTTTTTAGATTTTTTTTTTCTGTTTTGGGTGTGTTTATTTTTAGTCCTCACCATAATTTGTCTTAATTTTTTAAAATTCTTTTACTGGTTAACATCTTGTTTTAACATGTCAAATGTTACATCATGTAATACGTGATGATATTTCTTTTTTTGTGTTATCCTTTATTAGTCTTTGTTTTGTCTTACATATTTTCTTGTTGCTTTGTTCAGTTATCTTATTCCATGTATCAAAAGGACAATTTTTATTTAAATGATTGGCTGAGGCTCCAAGTAATATCGCCATTAAAGAAACGCATCAGACAAACATTCATCACGACATCATTTAATTTGGTCAATATGCTTACATGACATAATGCAAGTCCAGGGTTATAACAATGTTGCTGTTAAACAGTTTGTTTCCATACCAGTACTGAGGTGACTTATTTCATTACAACAGTCAATTTGACCATTACCATTTCACAATATGTTCAAGTCACATTTAGTTACAACAAGTTGCACAGAAAAGAAATTGTGTACTTTTAACAAGGTTGTTACCCAAAAGAACAAAAAAACCAAAAACAAAACAAGGTTGTACAAAAGCAAACAGAAACAAACAAACAGTTAAGAGTCACCAGTTTAGGTCAGTATAAAAGAAACAATGTTGGAAAGAAAAGGTCAGGACACAACACAGTTATAACACCTCAATTTCACATGCTGTCTCCATAACAAAAGCTCACTTGAACATTGTGGATTGCTTCCCCCCCATCCCTGATCACTTGTTTTCATAAATTAGTTTTCCTTCTTCTAAGCACCTATTTCTTGTAATTTTCAAGTTGAGATGCGCCTATTCCCCAAAGAATGTAGAACTGCCTGTCTGTTGGGTTGAGGAAAATAAACAGGGAGTTAACTTTGAGAAATAGATGGCAAAATTAGTTGGTGGCCTTTGGGAACTACTGTATCAACGTATCACGTTGAAGCAATGAGGAACCCAGAGAATGAGCAGTGGACATTCTCTGCAGCAAAGACACCATTAGCCTCCTCATCTGGGATCTGAACATAGACTGTATCCTGCTGGTCAAGCAAAAGCACAGCGCTACCAGACATCTGGTCCAGGAAACCCTTGTTGTACTCATCATAAGTGAACATAATAGGTTGGCCATTCTTGTACAGAGCCACCAGGGCATGAGCTCCATTAACATGGATGCTGTAGGAGAAGTAGTAGACTCCAGGCACTTGGCAAGTGAAAATACCAGTCTCTGGGTCATAGTGATTCTCAGCATTGTACACTATCTGATCAAACTTAATAGGGCTCCCAGCAGAAGGGTAGGGTGTGGCCAGAGCTGCTGTAAAAGCAGACATGGGGGACTTGACCATAATCTCCCCCATTCCCATGCCCTTCTCAAACACAACCTCACCGGGAGGTCCAGGGGGACCAGCAGGACCAGCTGGGCCAGGCTCACCATCAGCTCCATTTTCACCAGGCACACCAGGGGCACCCTGTGGGCCGGGAAGACCCTTGGCAGCCAAACCAGCTGGGCCAGGGGCACCAGGGAGACCTGGGTGTCCTTTAAGGCCAGGAGTACCGGAAGGACCTTGTGGGCCAGCAGGCCCTCTGGAACCTGGAGCACCATCAGATCCAGAAGCACCAGGCTCACCTGGACGACCAGGATGACCTTTAGGACCAGCAGGTCCTGGAATACCTGGGGCACCTGGAGTACCTGGAGCACCCATGTTACCTTTGTCACCTGCAGGCCCAGTTGCCCCCCGTGGTCCAGGTGGACCAGCTGCACCTGGATAACCCTGTTTACCTGGGAAACCTTGGGCTCCCTGATCTCCCTTATGTCCCTTAGATCCCTGAGGTCCGGTTGCACCTGCATCACCTTTAGGGCCGAAAGGACCAGTTTCACCTGGGAAACCTCTTTCACCCTGGGGTCCAGTTGGACCTGTTGGGCCAGTTGCACCAGTAGCACCAGTATATCCTGTAGGACCCTGCTCACCCTTTGCACCTGTGGCACCTGGACTACCAGGGGCTCCCCTCTCTCCCTTCTCACCATTTGCACCTGGTTTTCCATATCCTGGGACTCCAGGAGCACCAGTGGCTCCAGCAGGTCCCTGGTGGCCCTTAGGTCCAGCTGCACCGGGGAGACCTGGTGCGCCATTCTCACCGGGTTTTCCTGGAAGACCTACACCTGGGGCACCAGTGTGTCCCTTTGGTCCCTGTGGTCCCATTTGACCAGGAGCACCATCTCTACCTGGGGTACCTGACTTCCCTGGCTCTCCGGGCATACCTGATTTTCCTGGCTTTCCAATTCCAGAAGCACCTGGTGCTCCAGGTGGGCCCATAGGTCCCTGAGCTCCTGTCTGACCTTGGGGTCCCTGCATTCCCACACCTCTATCACCCTTTGAACCCGGCAGGCCAGGCACACCTGGGTGTCCTTTCAGGCCAGGCTCACCTCTGGGTCCCATAGGTCCAGGAAGACCTGAAGGTCCAGGCTTGCCAGTAGCAGACAGACCAGCAGGTCCAGGGCTTCCTGGAGACCCAGGGACTCCCCTAGGACCCTGAGGGCCTGTAGCACCAGTGTCTCCCTTGTCACCAGGTGTTCCAGGAAAGCCAGGTTTGCCAGGACCACCGGGAGTACCGGGTTTGCCAGCAATGGAGCGGCCAGGAGATCCAGGAGGTCCAGGAGGTCCTTGTGGCCCGGACAGACCTACACCATCCTCCCCAGGTGGGCCAGGTGGGCCAGGAGGTCCTTCGGCACCAGGCTCACCTGGTGCACCAGGCTCACCTGCCACTGATACCACTGTAAGGAGGGAAATAATGAATTATCACAAAGAAAGATGAATATAAAAGCATTTATTTTATCCTCTATGATCGTCTCCGTAAAGGTAACACAATGTGGTACTGTGTGGAATAGTGCAGCTTCAATACAAATCAATACAATGTAGATGTTTTCTACAGTGAACGCCTGGTCAGGTCAATTTGGTCACTGCAGTACCTAACATTTTAGTGCATGAATGTGGTTGAATCCATCTTTCAGATCTTAGGTTGGGTCATAGGTCAGTGAATAGGTTGTCATAGATTGGGAATATGATTTGAATAGTAGAAAAGAAATGAAAAGAATAGGTTTTGAACACATGCTTACATGTACAATGTATACTAAAGTAAAAAAATAAATAAATAAACATAATCTGAAAACCCAATCACATATCAACGTTTCACAGGTGAGAATATTTGAATTCTAATAATCCTACGGAATAAATTGTCAAGAGAAAATGGTTAATATAGATTTATGTATTCACTTTTACAAATGATCCCACAAAATAACATGTTGTTAAATGTTGTACTAAATCTTGAAAATTGACCTGGGTTTTTGAAACATCTACCGGAATGTCTTTTTTATTATCTAAAAGAGGGTTTCACTTAAATTGAGAAAATGTGAGAAAAAAGAACAAACTGCATATAACCTGTTTCATTACCATTTGTAAGACATGGTGGATGTTAAAGATGTTAAGAGTTTTTGTAGGACAACGCAAGTTGGAGTTAGTTTTTTTTCTGCCTTAATGTGGTCACATGTGTTTTGAGTGTTAAATGCACTCTCCTTGCCTAACTTTGGACTAGTTTGGATCAAGCCAAACAGATGTTTCTACTTCTGTGTTGAGCAGGCACACCCAGGCAAACCGCACTGCTGGGTGACTGGACTCTAATTGTTGGTGTCATCCTAAAAATAATCCACTAACAGCTACTTTCTTGAATTATTTAGCAGCATGCAACACAACAATGCATATTTTATCCCATATTTTTGGAAAATAAAAATGCAATCACATAATAAATTATAAGTCAATGTGTTTTGGTTGCACTATGAATATATTCAAAATTTGAATCTGTTTTCTGTTTTGTTTCAGGGATTTTTAGCAAATGCAGTAACTCAAACGTTATGAATAATCTCATGTCCAGTATTTAAGCTAAAATACCTGAACAAGTGAACAGCAGTCTGTAAGCTTTAATGCACTATGCATGTAAAGTGATGATGATTGAGCTTCTTTAAAAAAAAATCTATTTAGTAATACTGATAAACTAAAAAACACATCAATTCAACTTAACCAAACAATAATCTGTCTGCAACAGAGAAAAACAAAAAACACAAAGCACTGCAGAAAAACACAACCCATGTCTGTATTGACTATTCAGTATGTGATCTAAGTGGACTACGTGATTGGAGAGTCTGGGGAAATCATGCAGCCAATCAGAGCACACGGCTGCTCCAGGCTAAGGTGGAGTCCAGTTTGTGCTGGTGGTGCCTGCCTCTGACTGATGCTTGTGGAGCTCTTATCAGACTCAACTAAGTTACTCCTCTCCTCAGTGAAGTTTTACAGGTAGAGTAAGCCGTTTTGCTCAACTGTTACTTAATTCACATTTGGGGAGAAACATCTAGTTTGTGCGGCTTAGCATGTTGTGAGTTGGTCTTTTTCTCTTTTTGTTGTCACTAAAACAGCACTTGGTTACTTAGAGTAAACAAACTGAGCATCAGGTCTGAGACTGGGATTATTTTCTTACCATGGCTCTTTACAGGGAAGGGCACCACCTTCTTCACCACATAGCCCTTTCCATGGGCTGCTGCAGAGGCTGCAACGAGGAGGAGGATGCTGGCCACTCGAATGTCCATCATGGAAAGTCAAACCTGCAGAAGAGAGATGGACACAGTCAGTAGAATAATCTTAAAGGTACACATTTCAGCACTCTTAAATAGTTCTTAGTTCTATTAAAAAGAATGAAAAAACTTGAAATGCCAAATATTGAGGCTGTCCAAAGCCTCCAGAAACAAATTTAGAAAGGATGCTTTAGAGTTCTCATTAGACTATCTTGGAGAGTGTAGGACTCACTGAATATCCTGCTGGAAGCACTAAGTTAGCTAGTTTCTACCATCTCCCTATTCTGTCAAAGTAACCTTTAAAGGCCTTGACAAAGAGCCTAGAAAGTTGACAACTTTTCACCAACTATAAAACCATTAAGAAAGCAAGAGAATCAAACATACCGGCATCCAAGGAGAGGGAAACCAAATTTCTTCCGCACCAGTGAGCTCCTGGTGCTGCTGTATATCCTTAGGGTAGGAGCACAACTGAGGATATGCTGCCCTCCAGTACAATGAAGTGGGTATTTATACCATATCTACCCCTTGAATCATTAAAAAAAAAGAAAGCCCCCACCACACAAGTACCTCCCTTCTTAAAGCTAGGGTGTAATTAGCAGACAGATCTGCCCAAACCAGGCATGTCACATCAGGGAGCCTCCATGTCTTGAATATCTAGACACATGATTATCACTTATTTCAGTCTTTTTTTTTCTGAACAAGAAAATGATCAGATCTACTGAAAAATGAACTGAAATAAAGAAAAAAAGAACAACACAAAGAACATAGATAAGCTCAGAGGAATAATTCACTAATGACACCTTTTCACTTATCCACCATTACTCATATTTGCTGTTCTACAGCAACCTTTAGTTTGTGACATGACAATGTTGTATTCATTTTGTTAAAGAAATATTAGTATGTCTGAAAATAGTCAGCTCAGATCTGTAAAACATAAACAGCAGCATCTGTAAAGACACCTTTCTACCTTCCTGACTGGGAATCTGAATGCCAATAAAAAAGAAATTACTGTAGGAAGTCGTTGATATAATTCCCAAGGATTAAGTGCATTCAGTTTTTGAACGGCTTTAGACAGATTGAAACAATTTATGCCAAGTAAGTATTTGCAGGAGAAATTCATTTTTTGTTTAATTTTGTTTAGCATCGATTTCCTGAGCTATATATTTGGTCAAGCTGTAAATGTGACTTAGGACAAAGTAGTTTTGATTTTGGGGTGAACACTTTTTCTAAGCTTGTATATTTTTGTAGATGTTTCGCCCTTTATACAGCTAATAAAGCTATATAAAGAACTACCAAGAAATACACTTGGGCTTGTCTCATGAATGCAACCAAGTGTCACACCTACCCCATGCAGTACTCATACATAGACAGCAGGGGGCATGTTTTTACTTAAATGCAACATCCTGGAGCAAGATTCTAATGCTGCAGAGCACTGGATATACCCCTGTGGTCATGAATTATTTTTGGTTCCTTTGGAGAACATACATGATTATGCCCTTCTTGTATGTTCTTACAATTAAAGCTGGTTGCTGTCATGATGTAGTATTTCCTCAATCAGCTCTTTTGTACGTTACCCTCCCTCACACTCCACCTTGTCTTGCTTACTTTAAGATCTTCCAACTGTAATTTTTTCTGTTTCACTTCAGCCACATAGGAAATGCATACACCCAAATAATCACATGTTCCCAAGCACACAAGCAGCCATAAACGATGTGTAGGGTAGTTCATGTCCCATCCCAAAATCTCCCTGACCACGCATCCATTTATGGTACATGGGGTTCTTGTGTTCTTTTCATGTACATACATCATGTTGGCAATATGTCTATATTTGCAAAAAAAAGATGATGAAAAACATGACTGAGGACTAGACCAAGTTTCTGTGTAAGGCGTCTATACCACATGTGACTGTCACAGGCATCTTTCACCACAAGTTTAATTAGAGATTCTTCAGCATGGTTTGTTCGAACACCCCCACCCCCCATGACTTCTTTTTTTTTGGTGTAAATTAGATCAAATTATCTGCAATTTTCTAAAGTGCCACCTTCCCTGGTTTAAAGCACTCAATCATGTTTGGCAACCATTGTTTAAGTGGGCTCCTCCAGTAAAATAAAATATAATGCAATATGTGATTTTAATTTCCAAATGTTTGAAATTTTGGATCATAAGCACTCTGGGAGAGACAGCATGCCAAAAGGTGCAGAAATATATACATATATATATCCCAATGTGTGTTTCACGTGAAACTCCAGCTGCTGGAGCACCACATTTGTACCTTTATCATTAATGCAAACAACACTTTACTTTATTTAGTGCATGCTTGGCCCTGTTTTATCAGCCGTGGAAACTCATTTACTCTGCATTTTTCCTATTTTCCCTAACTATCACTTTCGATATGTTTTCGTTTTGCTATATCATTTCAAAACCTCTTATATCCTAGAGACCCAACCATTCCAGCTTTAGTCAGATTTAGATGAAATGAGAGAGCCTGAGAGGGTGGAGTTAGGATTTATATGTTTATAGGTTCAGTTTGTTTTAGTTTATTTATGTTTTTCAAACATAACTAAACCACTGCAAAAGGCTTTTTCCGTATTTAGTCCGATGTTCTGAACACAATGATTCATCTCTTTATGAAGAGAAAAACAGCAACCTGTGGGCCCTTGAGGAAACAGAAACACTCGTGCTGAGCCTTGGAAACAGAGTGTACTTTGGCCTGAGGAGAACTTGAATTAACAGTGTAATTTGGATGTTGTTTATAATCTCACAGCATATTTTGGATTTATAAATACGCCACTGCACTTATTTAAGAGGGACTCAGTCCTTGTGCTTATAGTGCTGAATTGAAGGCTGTAAAAGCGCATGGCAGAACATTCTCTGCTTTTCTCGTTACAGAACCACCAAAGCTTGATGTGGTTGGCAAGCTTCATTGTAATAACCATTAGAAATTAGGTTAACAGCTTTGAAAAAGAAAGTTGTGATGCTTTGCTCTTATATTGTCACTAACGCCTCACTGTAAAATACACACATGCTTTCAGTTTCGTGTCATTTCACACACTCGTCATATGACATAAAAGATTTTTACTGAATTTGGTAAAATCAGTATAAGACTAATTACAAACACACCCAAAGTCAGAGAGTGCAAACTTTGATAGATGAGTCTCCTGTTTCAGGACTACACAGATTTGCTTTACAGTCTTTACACATGTGACTTTCTGAATTAACAGACTTTATGCATGAATTGAACGAATCAGTGTGTTTGAGTTAAATTGCATCGGTGATGTTCAAATTTGGATAGCTTCTTCAACCATAAGTGCCTCCTGCAGCGTAACTTCTCCAAAAGTACTGCAGCAAAGGACTGGAAAGAAAAGAAAAACAAGCATGGGAAGCCATGACAGGGCAAACTTTCTTTGTCTTTCCCTGCTGCAGCTGGTCCTGCCTGCTATTCAGGCCTTCATCTGTGCCTAACAACAGCCCATGACTTTGACAAAATTCCCCAGAGAGCACTTCTGGACACTGTTACTGGCATTGCTGCTGATGTTTGTGCTTGTACTCTACTATGATAACAGTGTTTGAAAGGAAGGTTTTTGCATTTTGTCTGTTTTTGTTCACTTCACTGCCCAGGAATTGATGTTTCGGTTTCTTTGCCAAGCTGACCGAGACTCAACCCACACCCAAGAGAAGAACATAATTGGCAGTTGATGTAAAGGGACCTAACCAAGCACGTGAGCTAAGCAAAGTCTAAAGATACACCATCACTGCTTGGATACAAATTTAATGTTTCAATAAACTCCATGGACCACTAAGAACTACTTTAAACTTCATGAATGGCAGACTTGATGGGGGCCCTTTTGAACGATTGTTGGGGAAATTACTGGGTCCTGAAAACAAACATGGACCCGAATGAAATCGGAAGAGTAAAGAAAGGTTTCTAAAAAATCGGAGCTTGTGTCTGGGAGGTCAGCAGTGTGAAACCTTGGATGGCAGGCAAATGGAAGGATAGGGGAGAAAGCAACAGTTGGTGTGCTTTCATACCTCCCATGCTAGGATCCATGTAGTTTCCATTAAAGCCCTCCCCTGCATTTATGCTGACACATGCATATTTATTTTTACGTCTTTAAATTGTGAAACCACATGAAATTTCCTATGTAATTAAACCGATAAGCTTGAAATTGCTGGACTTTCGTTCCTACTGGCTGCTTGTGATGCTATCAGCACTTCGCCTGCAGAAGCTGCTGCTTCGCCCACTTCTGAAAGTTAACAGAAGCTTATTACCAGTCATCCAAAACAAGTACTACTTTATCTGATTAGATATTTTTTTTGTGCTCTCAAAGATTGCTGTAAGTTTATTTCTGGAAAGATTTGACTCAGCTGTAGGTTGAAGGCAACTTTCTTAGTCTTGCTTGGAGAAAAATCAGGCTTTGAGAGCTGAAACAGCCACATACTAACTTAATTAGAAGCGCTGAGCCAGACATTTAATATGCTGCTGCAAAACAAGCACATGTGCACACACGAGATTCTATTAAGGTGAAAAGGTCAGAAGAAGATGGATAGATTTTTGTTTTTACAACTTGCTTTGTCCTAAAAAAAAGTACATCTTTATTTCCTGACTTTATGTTAACATCAGGCTTATCTTGCTCTGTTCCGTCATTGCTTTAAAGTTAGAAAGAAAATAAAAAAACATCAAACACTAGACAGGCTGTCATAAGTATCTGCTCGCTGTGGGATGATTTAAAGATTTCAAAGCTAAATAAAACCACCTTAATGGTATTTCTTACATTTAAGCGTAGGTGTCTCAATCCTGTATTTAAGGATAATGACAAATCCTCTTCATCAAGCTTGAGAAAATTCTAGGTTTCCCTGGCTGTATCTGGCAACATTAGTTAGTTCACAGTAAAAATGTACCAAATAAAAAGAGGAAAGAGAAACTGAAAAAGCTGCCAGTGTTTTAGTAGGAGTGTGGAAGACGTGTTGAAAGGGGGAGGTGGGGGTTATATTTGACTTGTCTGTTCATAATTACATTTGACTTCAATGCCTACTGCAGCTGCAAATTGTGTCCATGCTTTAAATCCAATGTGACAACCAGCGACACAATGTCACTTCACTCGCTCCAGAGGCTGCACAAAGACTTGCATAGAGAGTTGGTTCTGAACACTATATTTGGTGAGAGCCATGTCTGTCTCAAAATAAGCAATGGAGCTAAACTGTTAGTTGAGGCCCACACAATCCACATATCCTAGAGGGTGCCATTTGTATATAAAGACATGACCACAGGAAGTTAGATGGAGTTTAATGTACAGTGTGTCCTTAACAACGCTGGGGCCAAGGCTCGATCCGGTGTGGTTTAAAGGTTTATTTTAATGGCTGATGGACACTGCGGGGGTGGGAACTCTGAATACATCTTTGAACAGTAGGTCCAGCTAAGTCAAAAAGAGATTTATCCCAGATTATGTACA